CTTGAACGTGCCTCTTCAGCGTCCCCTTTGCCATTTCAATGCATTTCCTGCGCTTTAATGCGGACTCATTGTCTCCTTCAGAAAAGGATTGGGATCATTTCTGCAATATTTTAATACTTGATAATAATAATTTTTTGTAGTTGCATCGCTTTTCAAGATTGTTCTTTCTGTACCGGAATTGCCGCCATGGCATTGCACAGACGGCCGATGCAAAGTCGTTGAATTTATAACAATCCAGTGAGGGGATTTGTCCAAAGTATGTTGTCATCCACTAAAATCTTCCGCTGTAACGCGAGTTGACCAAAGATAGAATAGAAGGCACAACAAATTTAAAAGTGAAAGCAATTTCGCCCAAATAACATTTGAATGGATCTTCAATCAAAAACTAATTCAATAGTTACGGTTAAAATAATTCATTTAATTCCAAGGCTATGAAGCAAAATATTCACAGTATTTTCATAGTTGAAGTGACTCCCGAAAAATTCCATTAAATTACGTTCCATACAATTATCGTTTCTTTAAAGCCAAGTGATCAATAAACCCATAATGGTTTATTGATTAAAAATTAATGTCACATATTATGGTCAATGCCATTAAATTATTATATTTGCTTAATTCACTTCAAGATAATTAACTTCAAAGTCATAGATGCAATCATCATTTGCAAAGTTGAGGTTGGGTTCACAACGTCTCACCCGATGGAGCGAACTGCAGTTTCAGCGTTTAAACGCTCAGATTTTTTCGTACGCGTTCTGATTCTCGGTAGCGCCATTCAGCGATCCCATACCTCGGTCGCTGCCGACGACTTGAAGCTCAGAAAGAAACGACGGCTGCGAAAAAGAAAAAATTATCACCAAGTTGGCGGGTCTCAAAAATTCTGCTTATAATGAACTTCTTGGAATTCTATCGGACGTGAAAAGAAGCTTTGTGACGTCGGCTTTCTTTACGGTTACCCTGTTGGTTTGCGGGAATTTAAACAACAATGAGAAACCTTAAATAATTTTTACGTTCGGAGTCAAAGATGGTAGCTATATGAAATTTAAAAAATTGTTAATAAAGATGCATTTTAGTTAGAAAAACAATCATTACGCCAAATTTATCGTGATAAATAGGCTCCTTCTCTCAGATTTGATTAAAATAATATGATTTTAAAGATAACACTCAAGTAGAAGACAAAGTGTAGAAGTGTTTACATCATAAATGCTGTTCCTATTTCCAAGTCAACGGTGCTGGATGCTACTTTGCATTTAAAGTCAAACTGTGTGATGGTAAATGAGTTCTAAAATTAAACGTCAAAAGTGAAGATCTAAAATTAAATACAGTTACTTTTTATAACGTTGAATTGGTATTGGTGATGACGATCCATTAATATCTTAGCCAGGGGTGATTAAGGAGACATGATACAGCGTCCAACATGAGCGGTGCGGTAGACATGATACAGCGCCCAACATGAGCGGTGTAGTAGACGATACAGCGCACAACACGAGCGGTGCGGGTAGACATGATACAGCGCTAACATGAGCGGTGCAGTAGACATGATACAGCGCTAACATGAGCGGTGCAGTAGACATGATACAGCGCCCCACATGAGCCATGCGGTATACATGTTACAGTGTCCAGCATGATCGGCATGGTTCACATGATACAAGCATGATGTTATCACGCTGGGCCAAGTTTCGTGTGCACGCTAATTAAGGTGAGTGCACGCTCTCTGAATGCCTCTATGACTCACCGGTCGGTACGAGTATCGAGTTTATGACGTGATACCAGCAAGCAAGAAACGTTTAACATGTCATCGATCCTCGTTGAAGTGACTGTAGTTCTAGGGATCTCTGCCTTACGTCACTCTTGGCTGCTCACGCACGCTTGAGGCGGACTTTCATTTTTAGTCACGACATTGTGAGGCAATTCCAGAGTTACGTGAATTTACCCGAACTCGCTGCTCATTATAGACTGTAAAGTTTCGTAAGACATTGAATTAAGGTCCATGTACATAGGATAAATGATCCTCGCCATTAAATGTAAACTTCTACAGTTTTATTGAGATTCATTTATTTGTCGATCTGCCAATTTCCTCGTCATTTGTAGATTCCTATCTCATTCGAATTAAGCTGCAGCTGACACATTACTTTGAATACATGGATAATGAAGCACGTTCAATTACTGTTAAACCATTTAATTTTGTTTGCTGTAATTGAATCATTTCGATAAACCCAAGTAAGTATTTAAACCGTGATACTTAAATTCTAGGTCCAAACTCCGTAGATTTTTTACAGAAATACAATTGATTGTTCAGAACGGATCCAGAATGAGATTGGTAGCATAGTTTATGCGGGTAATTGACAGAATTATAAATACTAAGCACATTACTCACGCTCCAGGGTTTTTGTGGTTAAAGCAGTACGTGCTGATTGAGATGCTAGCTGCTCTGGCAACCGACCGACCACAGGGCTTAAGTATAGGTTTTTTCGTTATATTATATTACTTATTTCTTTCAATATTATTATATATGAAATAATTTCATTATATTTGATTACATATAACATTATTATGATGATACAATATTATATTATTATTTTATAAAGTTTAAAATGATTATTTTGATTATGATTACGATATATTATGATTATCCCATATTTATATGACTTTCCAGTTTCGGAGCCCGCAATCATACGTGATTCCAAAATTCCAAAGGCATCACTTTAAAGTTATTTACATTAAGAAATCAGTGAGAAGTCGTTGACGGGAATCAGTTGAGGTTTCCAGTGAAGAGCCCTCAGTCCATTTCAGGCCAGACCATGCATCTTCAACAGATACATCGTTATGTAAAAACTTTTGACAATAGCTTGATTTTACAACTTATTTGGCAACAGGCAATGTTAATGGCAATATTCTTACAACAATATGAAACAAACAAATTATTGACTTTTGTTCATTCGAACTCATTTCTCCCCATTGGTTTCTTATTAGTGATTACAAGATAGTATGCGACTAAAGAGGTTCAAACTTAAATCATTTATTATTGTAAGACTCGATAGTAATTCACTTCACAATTGAGAAAGCAGCTACGAGGTAAAAAAATGAAACACAATAACTCTACATTGTTATGCATTAATATGATTCATTTGAACGATACAATTTGTGAAATCAGAGGCAATCAAATTGTCAGAGATTTTGGTATCGAAATTTCATGTTTTTACCGAAATCGAAATTTCGATTTGGTATCGAAATTTCGATACCAAAATCGAAATTTCATTGCTGACGGCGAGTTGCTGGGGTCACCCAGGTTCGGCCAGCCGTACTTATAGTACTTTAACGTGGGCCACAACAAAGGCTTGCAATAAAAGATACTTCAGAAACCACTCTCTTGAATATGTAGTTCCAAAACTCTCTTTAAGGAAAAAGAACAAAGAATAAATAACCAGAACTAACATATAAACGAACAAAAGACAAAGTATGAACAAACCTTCTCATGAATAAATTAATCTATTTTTACAGAATATAATAGAATAAAGAACATCTCGGAACAACCACTAATAATTATTGTAAAACCTAGGAAAAAACAAATAACCAAGTTTTAACACACCTTGACATTGTGGGTTCAAATGCGAAACAGGCTAGGACGGACTATAACCTACGAATCTAACTTCCGCATTTCTAAACTGAAAACTAAAATTACAAAAATACAAATTATTAAAATACTAAATTCTAATTCCCTAACATTGCCCCCCTCAAGTGCAATAACATTGCACTTTAAAACAATCGGACACTGAACAGTTGAGATACTGTAGGTACAATATATACAATTAGGTGACATTTATTTACTTCTATACAATAAAATACTCTTTATTAAGCCAGCAAATGAAATATAGACAAGAACAGGGCTAGAGATCAACGTATCACGTACAAGTATCACAAGAACGTATCACGCACAGGCAAAATACATATGTTTTATTTATTATTTGTACAAAATCCAAATATACTAAATTCTAATAACCTAACAGAGTAGAGGAGTCGAATCTTCGTAATTATTCTGTTTGGTTTTAATTTAATGAAAACCTTGCAGGTGGGAACTAAATAGTAATGTATATTTTCTGGCATTCGTTCTCTCAATTAAGAAGTTATTTCACAAGCGTCATAAGCGAGCTCCAGTATTATTGAAGCATCCAATCTAACACAACAGCTGGGATGGTTAATTTGGGATGGAAGTTAAGAGATCGTAAGTTCATCAGCCAATCATTGACGGCCTTTCAAGCAAAATCCACCAATCATAGACAAGAAAATAGAGCGTAAGTACTTACGTTCACTATACTTTCAAAAAAGTTAAGAGATCGTAAGTTCATCAGCCAATCATTGACGGCCTTTCAAGCAAAATCCACCAATCATAGACAAGAAAATAGAGCGTAAGTGTTTACGTTAACTTAGCGAGTTTTGAATGTATGGCCCCTGGTAAGTTATTGTTCACGCTATTTTATCGAGTAAGTAAAGAAAAACAGTCTTAATCGAAAAGCGGCCGTTGTGAATAATCATTTCGTGGTGAATTTAGTTTTTTATATTAATCCATTGATTTACATTTAATATTGTAGCAATACACAATGATTATGAAATTATTTTTATAAAATGTGGTGAAAAGCCTACAATATCGTTGCATGTTTTACTATCTCGGTCACGATGATTAGAAAATTTCTCCGCCAAAAAATTACGAACGTTTTTCACCTCCTCTGTACAGGTTAATCAGGTTTCTTGCAAGCTCGCGAAGAAACAGCTGCTAAAATTTAGCCTCACAGATTTCTTTGAAATCTCGATGTCTGCAATCGATGTCCGCCTGACCAATGACTTGCACAAATTCCGCTAATACTCCAGCGTCCGATGGTCAGGTCTCGCGTAGGCAGCCTACGTAGGCCGTAGGCCGGTCAACTGCAGCCGTCGATGGGGAGGAGTCTCAGGCAACCGAGTCTATATAAAGCGGTTCGTAGGAGTCAACGTCCCATTGCAGTCGTCGCTCTGGTCGTGGTCGCAAAGCAGGTGCTTGTGTCCTACCTGAACTCCTCTCTAACGGTACATGTCTAGGGAAGTACGATTACTCGAGTGTTATAGGTATAGTTTGGCCCAAGTTTTTTCTTTGTACTAGTTCGATTGTAGACCAGACAGTGGATTTTATTAGCAATCATATTGTTCGTTTTTTTAAATGAGTCGAAAGATATTTTCTTTCGCTGTCGTTTACAGATCGAAAAATTTTAGGTGCCATTGTAACCAAACCCGCGTCATATACAAAACTTGTAACACTGAGTCAGAATGGAATCAATACCAGCAGGATTTTTTAAAATAACCGATATTTTAATAATATATTCGAAGAATAAACCCATGCACCTGCATATAATTTGCCACCAATCATTATGAAAAATTACGTCAGTCATTCTTGAGTTAGACAGCATTGAATTTTAATCGGAGGAGTAAATAGAGGAAGATCTAAAAGAACCCGATAAATTTAATACGTTTCTCCGTCATAAGAAAGATTGTGCATGTCTTTGTGTCTTTCTATAGCATTTAGCAGATTCAAATTCAATGTTCTAGAAATCCTGTACTCTCATATTTGTGTGCTGATTCGAAATGTCACCTTCGTGGACCTTCTTACAAGTTATCCTCGTGCTATGGCCGTTGATTTTTTTTATGACGAGGCAGATTTTTAACATTGGCTCTCTCATATGATTTTCTTTGCTATGATTTCTGTATACCGACAAAATTGAGAATAATAAGATTGACTTTGCTAGAGCTACTGCATTGCTAGAATATTTTTTGTTGTGATATTGAGCCCCAAACAATACGTATCGTGATTATAATACGTTCTTAATTGTAATTGAAGCTACAGCAAATACATAAAAGCGTACTCTGTTCCCAAAAATTCTGCTTGAGACGTTTTCGCTTGTACTTAAACTGAAGATTTGGTATCGACGAGGCGGTCTGTCAGAGATGAGATATGGTTCAGTCAGGCATGTATATTGAATTCATGGATTTTTATTTCCGGTTTTTGAAACTTTTGCCTCTGCTGCCCCAGGATCTCGCCAACAACAGCACGATGGTGAGCGTACAGAAGGTGCCGGTGAGCGTGAGCGCAGTGTTGGTGCTGAGCGTGGTGCTCAGTCTGCTCAGCGGAACGCTCGTGGACGCTCGACCGGAGCCAGCACAGCTCGTCGCAATGGCGGATGCTCTAAAATATCTACACCAGCTGGACAAATATTACTCTCAGGTGGCACGGCCAAGGTAAGGTCAACTGCTTGCATAAAATTATAAGCCCCTGATGACCGAATGTGGAGGCGAGAGACGTAAAATTGTTAGAGAAACGTTAGTTACAATTTTAAAAATGCCGTTTGTGAGTGCATCGAAACCAGGAAAATTTCGCTGGAGCATAAAATCTTGAATAATGTTTTTAAGGTACCGGGAATATTTAGAACTTGGATTATCACGATGAAATGCTAACTTGCGTTTGCCATTAATTAAATGGGTAGTTTTATTCGCACGATGTATGTCATTAACATTGTTTATTAAATATTCATGCGTGGAAGCGTGACAGGATAAGCAGAAAAAATATTTAGTTGATTTTCCGAGTCCAGAGAAGCGCAAAATAATATTTTCAATTGAAAGGTTAAATTTTCATCCTTGCGTGACTTCGACAGTGATTTGTAAAATTTCTCACTCGATGGCGAACTAGCATTATTCTTCTTGATCATTCTTATCCTCATGAGGCTCAGAGATCACTCCTAATTAGTCGGCTCAGAGATCACTAATAAGCCAGGCTCAGAGATCATTTCGAACTAGCCAGGCTAAGAGATTGATGTTGTTTTAAACACAGTTGGTCGACCGTCGGGTTCACTAGGTTCGCTAAGTAGTTTTTTATTCCGAAGATTATTTACCAAACAATATTGCAGATGGGTGGAACGATATCGTTTTGCAAATAAATTTTGCTTTAGCAAAATTTTGTTTTGCTTGAGCTAAGATTTTTCGTATTTTTTGAACAATGAAAAAAGTCAAAAGACAAAAAGCCTTTAGCAACAGATTTAAATACTGGAAAACGTGTGCTGAGCGACAGCGCAAGCTTTGCAAGAATATTTTATCACTCAATTATAACGATAGAAATATCTCATTTTATCTAATAAATTTGCAATGTAACAGTAATAAAATCAGCTATCTGACACAGTAAACATTCACAGTTTGTTTTAGCGTTGTCTTCCGCTGACTGTAATAGCATATTTAGCTTAACTTTTTAACCTTAACCCTTAACCATTAACTAAACCTTAGCAGCCCATTTAGCTTAATTTAGATTAAACGATCACATGTTCCTATTACCGACAAAGCTGGAGCTTGAAATTTAGAATTTTGTTCATGCATACGTGATCGAATGTTTTATACGTAATTCCTGGCTCAATTCACTAATAAGTTTGCTATTAAAATGAGGGACTCCTGCTACCGGTGCCAGGTTCTGTATCTAGTGACTGCTTCTTACAGCCAACGATGCCTTCGATGCCATATTTTGCAACCACATTAATTCGTTCAATTGGCAAGAATGAAATTTAATGGCGGGCGTGCGATTTTCCTGTGGGAAATGCAATTGATTTTAACTTTCGGCACAACCGACCGCGCGAGCAACCAGCTAACTGCATCAAATTGGCTTTATTTTACTTGACGTAACGTAAGAAATAATAACCTAACACTTACTTCGTATTAAAATTCATTTCGTGGGACTGGCGAAGCCAAGCGCAACAGAAAGCCTTGACTGCTGAAAAAAAAAATTTTTTCATTAGTGAGTAGCGAATTTTCAGAGTAGTTAAGAATGTTATTTATAGTGATTAGTGGAAACGAAGCGCTGTGATTATGCGTTTTAGGATATAATATGCAAACTCATAAAATGTTTGTTCTAACGCAGCCAAAAAGAAATAGGATTTTGAAGACAATCAGCCGCGAATAGACTAATTATTATCGCACGCCAGCCTGAGAAACATGCTTTATGATGCTATTCTCGATGATTTGAACAATGCTAGGTCAATCATTTTCCCGATTTGACAACGGAATTTTAAATTTTGAGATTTTGTTATTCTAAAAGAAGCTAGGCCAATTTAAGAAACTAATCCATGAGTCATTCTTTTGAGCCTCATCGATTAACGATGGACGTCTTCGATACTTTCCTGAAAATCTATTCAAACTTTTATTTATTTTTTTTAGTTCTTTCCTATATGGTCAATCGAAGCTACTGCGCTCCACACGTCTCTGTCACAACATAAGCTTAAATATTAAGTGAGCATTAGAAGAACATACTCTGTAATTTATGTTAATTGAGCGATATAAATATCCATTTTCAGCATTCTTTTGAGTAATTGTCTTCCGAGTAATTGTCTTAAAATTTTAAACAAAATAATAATATAAGAAAATATACTGTATAATATAACATACAGTGTATATAATATATATTTCTTATATGTTATAAGAAAATGTATACTTCTCCTACTGTTAATCAAAGATGAGTACAAAAACTCGTCAGCTTTATGTGCCTACAATGTACAGTAGATGAGCGTTCTCATCCGAGCTGTTAGATCGATTTCCTCCCACGCTAATATTGCATTCTATCTCCCGTAATTTTTCAATTTTTCTCGTGAAAGACCGGACCGTCCTTTAATCATGCCTGAAGCAGCGAAGCGCACTATCACAAACTCTACGGCAACCGTTTGCCAGGGTTCGTCCCCGCGGCCACAATAGCGGTGCCTCGAAGTGACACATCAGCCAACAGAATGATGAGCTTCCGAGTAACTGGAAATATTCTCAGAATTGTGCCACGCCATTTGTGTTCTTTATGCTAAGAAGTTGAATAAAGACTATCCGAGTAATCAAACTAACAGACAATACTGGCGGCCAATACTTGTGGCTTAAAACGTGCAGCGCACAGCAGTAGATTAATTTTTAGATGATAAAAAGGTGTAAACTTTTGGAAATGTTCATATCGCTGCATTGATTCAGCGTCAATAAAAAATTATTTATCGTATATGTTCGCAAAAATCAATGTGAACAAATAGTACAATAGTGTCTTAATAACCAAACTTTGACCTTGTCAACGGTATGATGGTTTTTGTTGACATGGTATGATGGTTTGTACCAGGCTGCGTCTATATTGAATTCCATAAAGATCATCCTACGCGGCAAAGACTATTAGTTTTGGTCCCACGTACATCACATCACGACGAGGAAGAGTACGAGGGTCACGCGATTGTGGGTTCAGTAAAGGCAGGAACTTCACTTAAGATATGAAGAGCCAGCGTCGTCTTCAATGGCGTGCAGGAGCGACCGACAGCAGCACGGCAATAGTTACAGAGCAATTATAATAATTGATATTATGATTCTTCTATTAATTTATACTGAGCTTATCTTTTACCCTGAACCGCGTGGTAACACTAACGTAAAAACGTAGAAGGCAATTCTCTCCTCAATTAAAACTGGGATGGCCTTTTTACTGTAGAAAGTGTAGTAATTACTGTGGAAAATAACTCTCGCCATACTATAATGTGTACTGAACTTTCCCCGGGCACACTGCATGGCATGGACACGATTCAACAAATGAGTTCAACTTGAAAAAAACGATGTGCGTGTTTATTAGCAGCTATTTTTAGCGCATTTTCTCATTTATGAAAAAAAACGCTATTGTGCTAGTCATGTCCGTCCGTCTGTCTGTCCGTCCGTGACTTCACGTTTTCGTCGACGAGAAAATGCGCTCTCTGTCACTCACTGCAGTGATGACTGAGTTTTATTTTTTACAGTACATTGAATTGGTATAGAAATTTCGGGATTGATTTATGAAGAACTTATAATTACGATAAACAAACTGGTAAAATTGTTAACTATAAGTACCTGCTTCGGCAGTACAGATACTAAAATTGGACCGATACAGAGAAGACTATCATGGCTCCTGCGCAACGATGACACGCATATATTGACATAAACATAATGTGAGCGATTACCATGTTGACATTCGTCCATCCTTATTATGCGACGTCCTAAACATGAACCTTATTGCGCTTTGTTTACTAGACGCAATATCATCGTCAGAACTAAGTCAACAACAGAATCGGAAAATGTATCATCGTCGTCAATTATTATGAGAATTTTTCTGTTGTTCCCGACCATTTTTTCAAGCGTCATTGATACCAGCTGCTGGGAGGTTATTCAGGATAACCTGCAGAGGGAGGTATGTTCATAACATAAACATATCGATCTGTGCACCTGTAAGCAACATGCACAGTTAGAACTCCCGTCATGATCACAGCTACCAAGTATAGTTCTGCTGCTCCAATTGAACGCGGGAAATCATACGGGCGATGTCGCCATGTGCTTTCCTTGCGCCACGCGTTCATGGCGCGTTCATTGGACGCAGCAACTGCAGCTCAATATGTTATTTATCAGCCGCAGGAAAAATACACAAAGCTTTAGTAATTTCCAAAAATTACATCTACCGGATATGCTACAAAAAAGTATTAGAAGTTGTTTAGAGCTAATAATAAATATGTGAGTGATACGAACTCTGCCTCATGAGAGCGAAATGTTTGTTAATAATTCAATTTGCAACGGCGGGACAAAAAAATGATCTATTTTAATTATGACATTTTTACGCAATATGTTGTCATTAAAACTCAAAATTGAATCGGTAATATTTTCATGATATGCCAAATGACACAAACCAGTTACACAATATGGTTTAACAAATGAAATCTGCGCAAGTAGGAAATAAATTTTCGCGAAGAATGGTAATTGAATTTCTAGATCAGTCTTCACTGATCTAAATTTTAGGAAAAATTTTAAGATTGATAATTCGTGCTCTCGGAGATAGTCCGAACAAAATGAAAATATCATTTATAATGAACATATTTAATCACACACGTTAATTGACTTCCAACCACTCATGTCCAATATCTTGCCATGAGTAATGAAGCTCCTTACAAGGAACATGATCAATATTAATTATAATAATGCTAGGGATTAGGAAGCAATTGCAGGTGAATTTGCATTACAGCCACGAAAGATAAAACCCAAGGCTGTGGCGCCTGATCGATCACGTCTCCAGTTGCCTTCTCCTAACCTCGTATTTAGCAGCGACGAAGACATCTCGATTTATTGAGAATTATGTGTAACTTGTGGACAATTGCATCGCGTGAGCATTGTATAGGTGTTCTATGAGCATTATGAGTTCATAGCGTAATGAGCAATAGCAATATATACGCATTATATTTGCGTGTATAGACATATTGGCTTTGTATGAGCTCTTTATGCGCCTTGTACGTGCATAATATGCACATTTTTTATGCATTGTGAATGCATTCACGGTTGTGAGACGCATGTTCGTGAGCCCCTTGAGACGTACAGGACCATCCTTCTATTCTGTTCGTTATTTGAGTGCAAAAAAAAAACATATCAACGCGAATTTAACAATATGTAATATTATATGCAATATAATATTTCAAATCGATTATATGCAATATATAATCAATGTGCATTGATGACAAGTGACTTGAAATTGCAAACTAAAACCGGGCTGTTCGATTCTCTTCTGTTTTGTTTACCCACTTGAAATAAAGCAAATATATAATATAATATAATGGATAAAAATATTAATATTTCAAATTCTTGAAACATTATTTTCATATCCCAAAATAAAGTCTTGCGCAACCTCCTCAGCTTCGTTTCATGCTTCTTGAAGTATCGATATTATTTACTCCAAGAAATGAATACATTAAACGAGCTATAACAATCTACCGAGTACCGATTTAAAATGGTGCTCAAATTTCAATTAGGCAAAGATTTTATAAATTCTTTCACGGGTAAACTAACCGGCAACTAATGTGATCAAAATCCTGCTTTAAATTCAACCATAAATGAGGACAATGATGGAGCAGTAACCTTTTTATTTCAGGGCTTACAATCTCCGAGCAAACAATTAATAATGACGTTTACAGTAGACATTATTATAAAAAGATGAACGGTGCAAATTACCATAAAATAAACTCGACGCATTATATACGAGTTGCTGAGCCAGTATCTTCCTTACAAACGATCGCGTGTTTTTAGAAGTGACTCCTTTATGCCGTCATAACGTATCCTGGATACTGCGTCACTAAAGACGCCTGCATGCTGGCCAAATTGAAACTGGTCCAGTTCTGCAGGCGGGGCACCGATTTACTTAGAACTTAATTGCGAACAAAATGCAAGTAAAAGTCCGTCTCTTTTAATAAAATGGGATTTTCTTTACTTTTTTACCTTTGTCTGATAAATTATTAGATTATTTGAGGTGCGAGAGATTATTCAACTTTAATTATTTGATTCCAGCAAAAATATGAGTTACGGATGACAACGCGCCGGATTCTTGTGCTGAGTCCCTTCGTTTTTTTTTCGTATTTGGGCTATGAAAATTTTTTAGTTTGATGCACTGGATGGCAGAGTGGCTAAGATCACCAAGATTGGAGCACAGAGTTGCGAATTCGAAACCCGCAACTGGTTGTGAAAATTCTTATTAAAATTGGTAATGTGCCAGGGCCGGTGGATAATCAGTGACAAGGAAACGGGCCTATTCAAAGCTGACACCACCATGCTATTTTTTATGTATCAGCATTATTATCTTTACCATTTTGACACTAGTGCTAACGAACGAAAATAATTTGTTGATAACATTTTTTAAGTGGATAATTTTTTACAATGTGCTTTTTTTAATGTTCAATTTTTGGATTGCAATACAGATTTTTCTTATGGTGATTTATGATCATACGAAGCTCTTTTTCCTCGATTTTTTCAAATTTTTTTGCGTTTATGATAATTTTTGATGTCGGCGCAGCACTCGGTCCGCCCCAGGGTCTATGGTGACAGCACACGATATGGAGGAGACCCTGCGACGCTACCTCCAGTTGCAAGACCTCGGAAAATTTTATGTAAATAAGGCACGGCCTCGGTGAGTCACTACGCGTTCCATAAATGATTCAATTCATTGATATCTTGGTTTTGGCTGTTAATCTCCAGTGAACATGGAGCCGCACCTCTGGTTATCTCACGGTTGAAATGCATGGGTGATTCTACCATTTCTACTACGAGTTCTTTTGCACGAAATAGATTCTTCCTTTTAACGCAACGACTGAAAATGTTTGAAATTTTAATAAGAAATAAAAACTAATCGAACACATATTCCTGCTTACTTCTCACAACATATGACTTCTCGCCGCTTATCAATTGTCACTATAGATAAGGACGGAGATAAATAATTCATTTGTTTATTGGCAGCAACGCACTGGCCATAATAAGGGTGAAGAGCAGTAATTACTTGGGCCAGTCGTAGGACTGATTTTAAATTTTCATCTATTACAGTGTGGATGCTTTGCTGTAAAACTCAATCTCATTCTTTGATGATAATATCTTGGGTCACTCAATTCATTGATTATTTTTGTTTGACGTTCAAAAACGACTCATGGAGTTAACATTTTCATACTTCGGAACATTCCAAAATCTTCATAATTTGGATGCATGAGTAACTCTTGTTTTCTTCTTTGAGTAATTCAACTCTCCCAATGGTTAACCTTTGCCAACTGACATAAATCTTCAGATAATTTAAATCCAATTTCCGTATCATGCGCGAATGTTACTAAGCACGAATAGTATTCTAGTAGCTTAAATTAGTTTATTATATATTGTTACCAAGTAGATTTCATATTATTTTGTTTATAAAACTATTAAATAATTTAATTAGAATCGTCGATTTCATGTCAGTAGCGATTTGACGTGTTCAGCTTTTGACATTAACTGCAGTTTTGGAATACTTTGTATGCATGTTTTCTGGTTATCTGTCTTTGTATTCAAATTTTAAACCTAGATTTGGTCGAATTGCGTAACTTTAACCTATCGCCCGGTAACATTGAACTCTATCAAAATTTCGACGCATGTACTTATCCTTTGTTTCTTTTTTATTTATTATTAAAATATCTTTTAATAAATGAAATCCTTTATTTACTTTTTTCATCTTATTTCTCTGCAAAAAGTAGAAAACTCTAGAAATCTGCACGGCGTTGCTCACCTCTAGCATCACACCCTATACGAATGTTAAAGTCTTTCCGGTTTCCGAAGACGCATTTTAATGAAATTTTTCTTCTTTCTCCAACATCACTGGACCTCTCAATATCTTTGAATAGAAACAAAACAGATCTTGTCAGAATTTAATCTATTTCTAAGTAATGCCCTGGACATCATTTAGATGTTTCTATGCGTGCACATATGAGACTTGATCGCTTCATCTCAATACTCCCAAAGGCACTAATGTACCTTGCTTGCACTCTATAGCCCATATTCTCCGATCTCATCACAAAATATTTCGTCTTCTAACGGCTTCACAGGTTGCTTTCTCCTAATATTTAGGCAAATATATTGACAAAGAAAATTTTTCATGAGATTGACTTCAGAGATAACTCGTTTCTTCCCCGGCGCACTCCGTGGCGCATTCGACTTGCTCCCAACGTCTTCCTCCATATGCCAGGGATATTCATCTTAAACTGATGAAGGGATGCATGTAAAGACATGTATAAAAGTTAAATTCCGGAATATCATAATGCCAAACAATTCGCCTAACATTTATTTAATTATCTGAAATTAAGAGTCTGGATGGGACCGCTGCGTAATTCTTACCAGGACCGAGGTCCGCCAGTTGTGTCCACATGTCATGTATATGTAAATATTTCATTTGTGTAATGACATCTTTTACATAGGAATATCATATATACAGTCATGTTATATATGCAGTCATGTTATCATATATGCAGTCATGTCAACACAATCTTGCTAGCTGCCAAAAACACACCTATGTAATCGAGCCTGAAGGCTTCAAATTGCGCACTTTTCCGTTCATTTCGTTCAGTGTGAGTGAGTACTCTGAATAGTTGTGTACAAAGAGTTGTATGTTGGTGTCATTTGGCAGCACTTGTTCCTTCATACAAGTTCGATTGAAGACCTGAGGATGTAAATTATAAATAATTTTCTTGTTCGGTTTCTCAAGTAGTCGAACGCTATTTTTCGCTCGAGCGGGCATAGATCGAAAATTTCCAAAAGACATTTAAATATCTTGACGACATTTTGAATGATCACTAATCATTGTCAAATAATGTGAAGGTTTTGCAACGCTTAAATTTTGTGATTTAGAAGTAACTGAAGAGCAAAATTAGGTATTAAGAATACCACTCGAAAATTATTAACTAAAATTACGCCGAAAATAATTTCAAAATCCAGACGAATCTAGTAGTTAGTAAATTGATAGCGGGAGACCCATCCTTTAATGAGGGCTTCAGCTATCGCCAGTCTTGAAGCGTCGGAGGGCTTCAGCTATCGCCAGTCTTGAAGCGTCGGGGCATCGCATGATGATGCTGGTGCAGGCTTGGGGCATCGCATGATGATGCTGACTCCGTCATGCGGTTCGTTGGTCTTCCGGACATGGGGTGGCAAGGGACGTAGTCACTGTTAACCGAGCTCCTTTCTTCATAATGAGCAATATTACTCCAAAATATCATCATTATATTAAAAAGTCTTTTGGAAAACTGCTTCTTCATCTGTCCAGGCCAGGAAAAAATATCGTTCGACTATTTGGGAAAACGAACACACAAAATGTTGTGTGGGTTGTGTGAGAGTATATGTATTTTTAACAGTTATTTTCTTCAAACAGATTCGGCAAGAGATCGGAATCGACCCAGGGACCATCAGAACAAGCGTTGGTAAGACTTAAATACAAAACAATGTCGAACCGTAACGAAATATACGGTAACATAGGAATTGTACTCGGACTCTTCCTCCGTTCAAATAAACATTGGGTTGTTTGATTATTAACGTGTCGTCTCCTAGGCTAAATGATGTAGTTCCAAAATAAATTATTCGTAGTGTTAAAGGGGAAACAAATTATTACAAAAATCAGGATTAATCCGATTATAAAAAAATCCGATTACAAAAAAACTGAATGGGCAAAACTACAGACAAATTGAAAATTGGAGCACAGTTGGAAAGCTATGATGTGGAGAATCGAAAAACTCGTAAAAATAATTTCCGAAACAACGTATCTGCAGATCAAGCAAGAGTTTAGGATATTTTCCCTTCCGAGATCATTCCGTTAGTCCAGTTAAATGAAATTGCACCGAGGTTCCATCACTTCATGAAATAATTCAACACAGTGCAAAATTTACGTTTTAATTGTCTAAATTTTTTTTTGATAGAAAATAAATCATCTTATCATTCATTTTAAAAATCAAGAATTTGCTTGTGAAGTGTAGATAATTAAAACATTCGAAAAATTACATTTGATTGCTTGTTATATTGCTATTAAAATCAATTTTAGCAATCAATAGCAATCTATTAAATCAATTGATTTAATTAAATCAATTGATTTGGCAATCAATTAAATCAAATTTATTGGCATCGTCCCAATCGAATTGAAACATACAAAAATCATCCACATGCAACGAGGAAAGAGACACGTACCTATTCATCCGTTATAAAAGATCATGTAATTGTAAGCAATTTAAGTTTACATAGGTTCGTGGGCGTAATTCTACCTTTTTCTCTCTCAAGACTTTCTCCAATAATAACATCGAAATCTATGATGTTCCAAATTCACAGAACATCAACTTGAAGCCAGCTATATGTGTGTTTTTTTTAATTTAAATGCCATCATCTTCAACCTCTCGTGGAAAAATTAGACTATAAATGTAAAAGAAAATGCTCGTGAGCAGTAAAATCATGAACTCAAGAGATGAGCATAAACGTAAAAACATAATATATTGTTCCATGAGTAAAAACCTAATAAATTATTTTATTCCATGCGCAGTGGGAGGCGAGTGCGAGACTACTGGACTCGTACGGCGAGCAGCGCTGAGGCGGCAGATGGTGTGATGTTCCGGTGGTGCCAAAACCTTCACGACCAAAGGGCATGTGCCCTGACTCCGCACTGAAAAAACCCTTCGTTCTTCAGAGTAAACAGCGAAAATATTTATCTACATTTCGAGTATAACTTTCAAATTTAGTATTAATATAGACAAATAACATGGTGCTAGAAACCATCACAGTAATACCGGAGTCTGGAATGAGGGAATTGGAGCTGGTACAACTGAGCAATCAATTCAGCCATTATGCCCCAACGTCAATAAAGAGAATAAAGAAATAGAATTATTTGAATTCCTAGACTAGTACTAAAATTCAGCTCGCTAAAGGCAAACGAATGAGTTTTTTTTTAAAAGCGTGAAAATTCTAGCAGTGTCGAATTTAAATGGATATACACCGAGAAATTGTCAAAATACAACGAAAATTTTATAACCAATTTCAAAAAATAATTGAATTTTACAGCACGTGTATTTGTTTTATTTACTCAGTTGTATTCAAATGATATGAAACGCATTACCAACATCGCATTTACATAGTGGAGCAGCGGACTGTAAACCGAGTCTTTAGAAGCGCTGCAATACAAAATCAAACCATCGCATTGCATTCTTCACCTTGTGTTCATCAAAGAAAGAAGCAAGCAGTGATTGAATAATGTTCACATCCTAACCATAATTTCAACTAGAAATTTGCCATGAAACTGGAACCCTTGACAAAATATATTTCTTTGCCCTTTCCAAGTAAAACCGATTTGGCAGATATTTATTATTCTCCTTTGAATTGTGTTGTAACATGAGCGATAACGTCACACAAAAATACAACCCCACAACTGCCCTGCCTACACAACAACTTGACCCCACAACTGCCCTGCCCGGGGTTCTTAACCCCTCAATCCTGGGGCTCGATAGAGGGGTTAAGAACCTCGGGGTCCAGCCAAGAACCCCACGCCCCCCAGGACCACGCCTCTCGTTGGTTGAAACCTCACCAGAGACCTGCTTTTCCAAAGCACATTCTCTATAAGTTTGCTCATACAGAAACTAAAAGTAAAGATAAAAAATAATCAAGGATAAGTGGATCAACAAATTTTACTATGAAGGTCATACAATTCCAAAGAGCTTAACAATACGTACATTATACACTTTGTACAGTAATTTATAGTACAATATTATTGATATTCTCAGGAGTATGTCAAGCCAAAATACATGAAATGGACATACATAATCTCGCGCCAATATCTCATCAAATCGTTTTCCTAATCATGCGTAGTGTCAGCCACTGAGCAATTCCATCACGTGGAGTGGATGATATCACCAACATAAACATATTTTTCATCAGCAAGATCAATATAAATTCAATCAAATATATATAATAATAATAATTTTGCCCAAGACTCCCACAGCAGATAAACATAACATAGCGCAGGCCAATGCTTAACAATAAGAAAATATATTCCAGATTCTTCAAAACCTTAAAATAAAGATTGAATGGTAACCTCTATCAGGTATTAGAAATGCAATAAATATAACCTAGAAGTTCGCTTACAAAAAATACGGGAGGGTCCCACATCGAAGCTGCGTTCACAATGATGGCACTGAGGAATAATTCAAACAAACAACGTTATATTCAAAAACCCAGTAAGGAAACTTGGTGCATTAGTTGTAGCTACAGTGTAAGTACCACTAAATATGAAATCAAGTCAACCAAAATACGATATATTAGTCACATATTCGAACGTTATAACAGCTAGATTTGTATCACAAACCACCAGACGTACAGGAGAAAGTTCGACATGATGCCACTTACCACACAAAGATCATCAAAAAGTTCATTCATTGTGATATTTTATGGCTCAAAGGATCGGCGATAACCGCAAACCTTCAATATCTAATTGCAGGCAAAAATACAACTCAATAAACACACAAGGAAAAATGAAAATTTGTGGCAACAGGAACAGGAACTACAAATAAAAAAAAACGGTGCACAAAATCATTCCTGAAAAGAAACCTAAACACAAACGACTCAATAATTGGTTGAATTGGTCATGGCCGCCTCGTGCATGACGCGGCGGGTCACTCCTCCACACACGTAAATCAAAGTAACATGCAAAAACACAACACGGTTAAGCTTTAGTGCAGCAAACAACAAGTGACGGGAATTCAAATTAATTTTTGAATTACCTGTATTACAAAATACCAAAATCACATTTATTACGACAAAACACTCGAGGAGTTAAAGATCAATTTGAATTTATATCAGCTACAACACGATTTTTGGGCCGTAGCTCGAAATTGCCATTAATTCATCATTCATTTGCTTTAGAGGAAATCAGGAGGATGAAATTAAAGCAGGTAATATAACCATGGTTACTCTACGGAGAAATGGCGCGAATATTATGAGCAACAAAAAAAAAACATTACTGCAAGACGCCTGCATTCGAACCATCAGAGATGGGCGAATAGATGAAGTTCGAATATGAGAAAGAAATTCGAATCCTGCAACCACGTACGAAATATCCATCCAATCTTTTATATTAGGTGACCACGTAAAATGTGGTAATTTTACTAGTGGAAATTTACTTCGAATTTAAAGCAAGTGATACAAGCCACCAGGCGGATCTTACATGCGCCTACACGCGGGTTCGAGTATGGCAACGAATTTTTGTATTCAGAACCAAATGACATCCGGCAATTGCACTTCTCTATAGCTCCATGTTAGGAAACTTCGTAAAATATGCATGGAGAACAAACTATCTCGGATGATAATTTCAAAATTAAATCATAAATAACACGCGAGTAACCGAAAACAACAATATAATGTGTAAACTGTTATAAGAACATGTTCCTCATACATCACAAAACTACACGCGAACGGCCAGCATATTAGTTGAACAGCAAGAACACTGAGGTGGTGAATAAATGCCACACGAATCAACGAAGACATTTCGAAAACTAGTGCGGAGTAAAGTCAACAATCTTAAAGTCATCATTAGGGTAAATTGTGGGTTATATTAGGTATGTACTTATAATTACAAAAATAACAATTTCTCCTCCTGCCATTAGGAAACGGGATCCAAAAAAATTCGGTAATTAGAAATTTAGAAGGGATTCAAAAGCGGTACCGTAGGTCTTGAGCCCAATCACTAAGTGAAAAATAAAATAGTAAATTTAGTATGGATAAAATGATGGATTAATTAGAAGAGGCTGGACTTTTTTAGAACAGTGACAGTGCAGGACCACAAAATATAGTAAAGAACACCGCCTCCAACAGTAAGATGAGCAACATCAAAATAGTGAACAAGAAGAGAGATTTAATGACCATGAAATATGCAACAAGACATCGATCAATTTAATGATCGAAGCTATGCAGGACTTAGTACAAAAATATAAATGCAACTGTCTGTTATTAGTTTATGATTACATTTCACAAGAATATACATGTGACACAAGTGGTGCGCTTTTAGAAATATGTGTACAAGTTTCCAAAAACACAACACGAGAAATGGATATCAACAGGAAAGTTTTCCATTTAGCTTCCGTTCTTACCTATCGAGCAAACAAAATTAAGATCGATGATAAACTAGACATGGATATAAAATTCTAGAAGATCTTATGAGAAAGGCAACACTTAGCAACATTAATAACAGACTAACTATTATTGTAAAACATTGGGCAAGAAAAAAACGTTCTGAGGTTATGGTTTCACCGGCTACATCATTGCACCCATCACGTTTCTCATTGTTATTAGCAACTAATACAATTGTCATCTTACACTGCTCAAATTACCTACAACACGGATCTCATTTATCAAAAGCATTTATTACTGTTCTCTTTGGATCAAATATGTTCTTTTTTTATATCCAGCACAAAATTTATACTAAGTTGCTGCAACAAATAAGTGATAATAGCAAAACTTTGATACAGTTACGAAATCTGCAATAGGTATGTAAATTCACGGCAAACCACAATGAACGATTCATTTGCTTTCTAAATAAACAAAATTTCGACTATACTAATGAAAGTTGGAGCAAAGATCAAGCCGTGTATGATTGGTATATAACTGGGATAATTATGAACAGCAAATTTAGTGCTATGTCAAACATGTTCGTATAAATAAAAAGAGTGGCTTGGAGCGAAAAGGAGAAGCTGGGTCCTACGAAGCAGCCACTCCAGGAACTGGGACTCGACGAGTCAGACCCAGAGGAGCCGGGACTTCCAACGGGAGCTGCAGCAGGAGGGGCTATTTCTTGTGAGGTTTATGGACGTTGTTTTTCAGGGTTATCCTAACTCTTGTGGGGCTTATTGACATTGTTGTTGGCTGCGGTTTTGACCCCAGAATTGATGGCGGAGTTCATGGCCTGGTGGGCTGCCTGCTCTGCTGCGTCTTTCAAGGGCTTCTCCATGTACGTGCTGTATATAGGTTGCAGTAACTGCACATTACATTACAAGGTTCATTACGATGGCTAAAGTAAAAAACTAGAAGACATTCAGGAAGGTTATGAATCACTTATAAATTTCGCAGTACAACATTTAATGTTAGATGAAAATAACGAGCATGAAGGTCAGCTCAAACATAAACCCTATTAAAGGAAAGTTGCCGCAAAACAGCACGAGTTTCATCGTAGTCATAGAAGTCGTTACTAACAGCTTTCACTTAGGTGGCTAAGCTATAACTTTAGCATCTTAATTGAGAAATATATCAAAGTGAGAACATCACAATTTGAACTTCTTACATTTTCCCAAAGAAAAGTGGCGACTTCATCGATGTAAATGCCGACGTCGCGAAACTCGCCGCTGTACCTGCACAGGAAGAAAGTTATTAGTGCCTGGAATATGGGCCAGAACTTGAGCGCGGGAGAAGCAGAATTTTGCCAGCACCAAGTAGAGTCAACGGTTCAAGTAGAGACCAAGTCAACCGTTCAAGTAGAGCTCAACACCGTTGAACCGTTCAGATAGAAACCAAGTCAACGGTTCAAGTAAAGACGGATCCAACCGTTCAAGTTGAGGTAGACTGAACTGTACAAGAGTGAGCATGACTGCGCGCACCTCACGTATGCCCAGAGTGCAAGCATGACCAGGAAGGCGCCCATACACGCACCTCACGTATGCCCAGAGCGTAAGCATGACCAGGAAGGCGCCCATGCACGCACCTCACGTATGCCCAGAGTGTAAGCATGACCAGGAAGGCGCCCATGCACGCACCTCACGTATGCCCAGAGTGTAAGCATGACCAGGAAGACGCCCATGCACATGTTGCAGATGCTGGCGATGGGGTAGAGGCCGAAGACTCCGAAGAGGCCCGACAGCAAATAGAAGATCATGAGGGCCGTGAAGAGCGTCGCGGGGGTGCGCGCGGCCTTGAAGACGTTCTTCGCTTCGTTCTGCTCCATAAACTTCACGAAGAGCTTGTCAATTTCCTGCGGATAATGAGGTGTGGCTTAAGGACCAAGACCAAAATTCTCCTAGGGATGTTTTCTCCTGCTCGGTAACATCGATAAATCTGAGGAGGTTCCACAGAATTTTTCTACACAATTTAATGAAAGGCCTATTCAAATTCAACAAATGTAGAACTTACCATTTTCTCTACCTCACAAATGAAATATTTCTCTAGAGCTAATCGGAGAGAATATCTTATCTGCTGAAAGATAAGGAAAAAAATAACTCATTACTCAGTGCAGTGAGTGACAGAGAGAGCATTTTCTCGTCGACGAAAAAGCGAAGTCACGGACGGACAGACGGAAATGGTGAGCACGATAGTGCATTTTTCCATAAATGAGAAAATGCGCTAAAAAGAATAGGCCTATTTCTGCCTTTCAACGATTAATTAAACTCGACTTATGCCGAGTACATTACTCCGCAGCTAAAGTCGAAACTCAACAAATTTCAAGAAAACCTTCACGCAAAATACGAACGTAAGTTTAGAAAATTAGTGGCAGAATATTAGAAATTAGATTTACAATACAATTGTTGTCATTTTCAGACAATTATAGGCAGAATAAAAATGACAACGATTGTAACAGCCAAGAGTCAGGCAAGATGCCAGCGCTGATCCACAACAGGTTCCTAACTAACCTCTTCCAGCTGCGTTTGGTATTTCTCGACGACCCTCTGGTTCTTCCTGCCGTATTTATTCTTCTCGAGGTATGAAGCGACGGCTCGCTGCTTCTCCTTCTCGTGCTCGGCCTCCATCTGGACGGTCTTAAGGAAGGGGCGGTCGCCCCCCACCAGCGTGTCCATGGCTTCCGTGTAGAGCTCCTTGCCGGCCTCCAGCGCAGCCTGACTGCTCGCTCGCGCCGCGAACTGCGGGTGTGAACGACTAAACTGTAAATATATTCTACCTGGCGAGCTGGGGCCATACTTTCAAAACTCGCTTAGTGAACGTAAGTACTTACGCTCCATTTTCTTGTCTATGATTGGTAGATTTTGCTTGAAAGGCCGTCAATGATTGGCTGATGAACTTACGATCTCTTAACTTTTTTGAAAGTATATAGGCCAGTCAAAGGAAGGGGCGGTCGCCCCCCACCAGCGTGTCCATGGCTTCCGTGTAGAGCTCCTTGCCGGCCTCCAGCGCCGCCTGACTGCTCGCTCGCGCCGCGAACTGCGGGTGTGAACGACTAAACTGTAAATATATTCATTCTACCTGGCGAGCTGGTAAGCCACCTCTTCACCGAGCTACGTTTAATTACGTAATTAGCGCTAGCCTTGCGTCTCGAGACTGGTCGGTAACTTGAGTCTCGTACCTGGGGCCATACTTTCAAAATTCGCTATGAACGTAAGTACTTACGTTCTATTTTCTTATCTATGATTGGTGGATTTTGCTTGAAAGGCCGTCAATGAATGGCTGATGAACATACGATCTCTTAACTTTTTTGAAAGTATATAGGCCAGTCAGACTAGTTAGCAAATAAGATACGCGTAACCGCGAAGTAAGCCTCAAATGTGGCTAGTCCACGCACAGCTAGGCGCACTCATCGCCATCATGCGTGACGACGCTTATTGTTCCTGACATTCACAAGACTTGATAATTTTACTAAGCTATGTTTACAGGTAACACACCTTATAGATCAACATTGGCAAATTAGTTCCTAACAATTGCAACTGATAAGGAAAATTTCAAACGATGAACTCAAGTTCAAGAAAAAGTGAACGTTACAGTTATTTCTAGGATTCAGAGCGGAACAGAATTACCTAACTATATTACCAAACTATTTATTTAATTACCTAAATATATTTCAAAGCTATATATTTAATTATTTAAATATCTCACAACCGTTTGTTCTACTTGGCCGCTATGAGCTGAAAGAATCAGTGCCGACATTTACACATGAATAAAAATTTGACTGTATTTTCTTCATACAAGAAAGAACTAAACTTATGTTCTACTGGCGTGATGAAAGCATCACATTATCGGTTCATGATACCGAACAGCATTGGTGACAGTCCATGTAACTGTAGAAAAAGCGTTAGCTCTCCGTCTACGTACTGACCCTAACTTGTCCTATACCAGGCATACATATACGAATAGCAATGGCGACAGTACAAGCAAATGTAGACAAAGGGTTAAAGAAGTCATAAGTTTAGCTAACCTCAACTAGCGTAGTAGGCTCGGGCAGGTCGATGTCTTTGAAAACCTCCATGAAGGTCTTAAAGAAATTGAAGAGATCCCTGGCCTTGATGGGCTGTCCCCCGAACTCCTTCTTGACGAGGTTCTCAGGCGCCAGAAGCTGGGGCACCAGAATTCGAAGATGGGTCAGGAATTCCTCTTCAATATCTGCACAGAAACATCACTCAGAAAAATGGGCGAGACTTTGTAAAAAAGCGATAAACATCACTCAGAAAAATGGGCGAGACTTTGTAAAAAATAGCGATGCACTTCTTGCCATGGTGTGGGTCATAAAGATCCAATTTTACCCGGCAAAAGCGCGTATCAGTGCTGCGTGTAGAAAGTGTCACAACTTTGACAATACGGCACCTAAATTTTTCTGCGTGGTCGTCTTTTCAATTGAATTCATCAGAGGATGTAATAATACACCAAGCCCCGCATGAAATAGAGCATCACGTTTCTAGAACGGAATTTAGTAATTCGAGTAAACGAAGCAAAACCATACAATGTGGCAATGGCGTTTAATTTGCGATTTCACCAGAAGCAAATACTACTATGATATTCACGCGGAGAAGCCTTTCATCGTGAAGCACGCGTGCTAAGTTTCAAACCAATGTTCTCGCTTAAGAGTTAACATAACCCAAGTCTGGTTCTCACGTTAAATGTATTAAATATCTGTTCACACGGGGAATTTAGGGGAGTAAATGGGGGGGGGGGGGAGGGGGCCTGAAACACGAGTTGGATAACACCCTTTTGTGTATGAATATACCTGGAGAAAGTTACATATAATCTGTAAAATTGATAATGGGCTTACAGCTAAAATTATGTTGTATCATGTCATATAAATTGGTCATTTGTTGTGAGGGCCAGCATATCGCATCAAGATGTTCAGTTCCTATTCATTTTCATTGGAAATAAACATCCCTGTACAAGTAAATGATTCATGTAAACTCTAGAAAGATCTATTATGCGAGTAGTAGTGAAAGTAAATGGTCGCAAGTAGAGAAACGTATGAAAAGTACATTCCCACAAATTTGAATGAAAAGGTTCATCTCAAAAATAAGGAGAGATAATATAATCATAAAGAATCAAGAGATTATACTACTATAATCAGAAAGACTACATGGCCTCTGAAATTGGCATTCTTTTTTTAATAATAAGGTGAAGTAAGTATACTGCGTTCAGGCAACTGCTCTACAGGAAATATTAAGGTTAAGGAAATCCTCGTCAAAACCTTGGCCATGAATTGTGTTGAAAAAAAATTGAACTTTAGTAGCCACGTCTGCTTATTGCAACGACGAGGAAGAAGCGGCAGGAATATTTGGGTGGCTGTCGCCCGGCGTAGTCAAGCCACAGCGAACGCTCTAGTCCTGGCCGGCGCTTTGTGATACCGAGGCGAAACAGGTTATAGGTTCTACATCTCTATCTACGCTCATCTAATAATAGAAATGACACAAAGACCGAGAAGTTGACAAGCGTAACTTTTAAACATCATTATTTTCATTATAGCTAGAATTTATAGTGATGTTTGGTGCAACCGAACTTCGAGGGCACGTTACATATTAAGAGAACCAAGATAAGGAAGTGAGCAAAAAAAGAGAACAACACATCCGCTTGCGTAAAAATGGGTGAAGAAAAAGCGTAGATGATGTCAGTCGTGTTGCAGCAAGGAGAAGATAACAGTGAAGCATAATTCGCACAAAGAACAGGCGTGTGATAGTGAAGATTAAGTGACGGTAATGCTGGGCAATGATAACAGACATAATAGTGAGGCTGGTCATCCTGCTGTGGATGTCAGCGACAGCTTCTGGTCACGAGGATACTCCGTAAGGATGAGCAGTTCCTACCCCGAATTACTGTTAGCCCGCAGGCGGGTTTGGGGGCCATATTAGGTTATCAAACTCACCAAAGCAACTTTGGTCGTTAATATCTAAAATTTCATTTAATTATTAAACAATTCAAAGTTATTATGAACGTTTTTCCATTTAATTATTAAATATTTTAAAGTTATTATTAAAGCTTTTCCACTTAATTATTAAACATTTTAATGTTATTATTAAAGTTAAGGTTTTATTTGAACGAATTATGCATGCACGATGACAACGATAACAGTGCGAGGTGCATGTGATAACTCACGAGTTTTGTCATACATTTCGAACAATATTGGAATATATAATTTAGAACAACATTGCAGAGCTGCCGCGCGGCTTTGGTTTGAAGGCAACTCGACATCACAAAGCTTCGAGTTCACACTCAAGGAGTATGGGAGGTGAGATAACACAATTTATCTGATGCGTGTCTTACAGAAGTTCCTTGAAAAAGTGAAATACATTCACTATTTCCGTCTGCAATAGGAATAATATGATGAATGTAATCGGGAGATAATTTCGTATTTCTGTCACTACAATGTCAATGCCATGCATGACTGGTCACTACACAGTTACTGTATACAAAACTGTTCACTACAATGTCAATGCTATGCATGACTGTTCACTACACCGTCACTGTCATACACGACTGTTAACTACACCGTCACTGTCATACACGACTGTTCACTACACCGTCACTGTCATACACGACTGTTAACTACACCGTCACTGTCATACACGACTGTTCACTCCACAGTCAATGCCATACCGTGTATGTGTGCCATACAGTGTATGGCATACACTACTGTTCACCACAACGTCACTGTCACACACGACTGTTCACTACACCATCAGATAATGCACAAGCGTCAATAACAGTTGTCTGTTAACAGAGAAGGCGACAGAGTTGCGGCCCAGATGCAGCGGGTGCTGTCGCCTCACGTCGTGCTAACGGTGAGCCTCATCGTCACTCCTTCTCTTGACGTTTAGCACAATTATTTTATGTGCTTTATTTTCAGTCCAGTATCTTATTTCATCAGAATAGGTTATACAATTTCCTCTGTTATATTATCTGACTCGCTCATTCCAATCCTCTCAGTGTATTCGTCTCGGTTATTTGCTTTGTCTCGATATTACATTTGCCTCCGTTATTTATCGTCGCGGTCATTTCACTAGTGTAGGTGATAATATTTATTTTGAGACGTACGTGTCAGAGTTATTCTGTTTGAAGTTAATTCATTTTAGTGTCCTGGAGATTTTCTGTCATTTCGCTGTTTCGGCCTTAACTTTTTTCTTCGTGGTATTCTCAGTGTAGTGTGACACTCGTTGAATTTTTTTATTGCTTCAGTCATTTAATTCGTCTAAACTAAAACATTATTATCGTTGAACAGAGCAATGCCACAAGACACAAGTCGAATTGTGATCTTTACGTACAAAGAATTTACCGCGTCCTCGCCAACTATAAATTATTGGTAAAAAAATGCGTCTCAAGAAAAACACACACATTTCGGTTTGAGATTAATCGCCGATTCATGGCACTGATAAAAATCATAAAATAATGAAAAAAATAATTTATAACATGAGTTGAATCTACTAATGAATTAAATTTGTACTCGACTTTCAAACCATGAGCGAAATAAATCTGTGCCAAGAAATTTATAGGAAATAGAGCACGAGAAGTAGAGCAGTGAAATTTGAAAAAAAGTTCGGATTGATTGGACCGAACCGTCTTCAATAGGCACGCCCAATAATTCCTCAACACTAAAGCAAAGTATAATTCTATTAAATAGCGTATATTATAACAAATCATCTTATATTATATATTAAATAGAATACAATATAAGATGATTTAATAACCAACGAACCATGCACAGGACTGGCAAGTTCAAATGAGCACAGAAGCACGTGCGGGGGAGGGGCTGCAGATGACAGTCCACAACCCGCACACGGGCGTCATCACCTTCCAGAAGGTGGGTGGTCACTCTACATTATCTCTCATATATACGCGTATTGCAGTGGAGAGAAAATACTCGTGTGTCATTATGATATACTCATTAAAATGACGACTTGTTCATATCACAACATCATAATCAAACCCTAAACATTAGTTGCAAATTAATTAAAATTTCAAAATTACATGGGTATGTCGAGTGAACCTTGTTCTCTCCTTACACTAGCTATTCATGGAGTAGAGAAATTATTAATCTATCCACAGTAATTTAGGAACCCCGAATGCAATATTTCTTCGCAGATTAAGCACGCAACTCTCAAAATCCCAATAGCAATCCAAACAAAATGCATGAAAATGCAGTCTCATCAACAAGTCTGATGGCTATGATGGACAAGTTATAGAGGTTTTTGCGTTGCAGGTGTTCCGGCTCGGGTTGGTGTTCGGTCACTACCTGGACCTACAGTGGCATGTGGGGCGCATACAGGAAGGCAGCGTGATCGTCTTCATGGTCTGTGGGTCTGGCATGATAGGTCTCAGAGACGCAGCCATCACCCTGCAGGACCTGGGCTCAGTCCTGGCAGACCATCTGCCAGAGACCGCTCACTGGATCTGGGTCTTCGTCAAGGGAGGTAGAACTATCATAGAGACGGCTATGCTGGAAACTCAATTGCCGGTGACGGCACACGCTCCCTTGTTGACTTATCCACAAACCAGACAATATTTTGAAGATAGTCTGGAACAGCGAAGGTGGGAGCTGTGTGAAGTGCAGGAAGCCTTGGGGCCGTTCTGTGACGAGAGACACCCAGCATCGATACGACCGGAGCCTCAGCCGCTGCCTCACACAGATATTCTAGATCAAATTCCAGTCATTATGACGGGTGGCACGAGAATCGCGTACCTGTACACAGCCCTCTCTGCCCTGTTGAAAGCTCCAGGTCTGCGTAAACATAATTTTAAAGTGTTCTTAGGGGACACTTCACCACAAGTAATAGAACTTCTGAACTTGATGGACATACAGTACGTCGAGACTCTGGTGTACGGAGACGGAAACGTCAAACTTTTCCAGTACTACAGATCAGCCTATCAGTACGTGGCAGATTCATACCCAGAAGCTCCAGCAGCTATCTTTATGGACGAGGACGTCGAACTTTCCCCGGATTACTTCTCTCTCATGAGCCAAATGATCCCGCTGTTGAGAATAGATCCAACGATTTACTGCGTGACAGGTTTCGGAGCTGCTTCAACGCAATCATTCTACGGTGAAGATGACAAACTGAAGCGAGTGTCGTCCCAGGTGCTGTGGGGATACGCTCTAACACTTGATTTCATACGTGAGGCCTTACGTGAATGGCCAACTAGTCGGAAATACAATGTTATTTACGATCTGTGGATGTTCGACAACGTCGTTGATAATAGGGAGTGCGTGGTACCAGAAATGTCTAGAGTCCGGCACTTTGGAGCCGGCCAGAACACTCTAGGGTTTGACTTGGAGAAATTTTTTCTTACCACTCAATTAGTGAATAAAACAGGCATTAAAATCACTAACCTGGAAGAAATGCCTCATAAAAACTGGTCGAAGAAGATTATCAGAGAACTTCAAAAAGCGACCGTATTAGAAGGTAACCCATGCGAGAAAGGGTTCTTTCACAACCGGCCAAATGGAACCTACGTATTCTTCTATTACCTGGAAAGTGATGAAAATGGCATGTACCAGATCGACAACTATTTCGCGATAGGAGAATGCCAGAACTTTTGGGGCCAGTCTGACCAAGGTTGGCACGAGGCGGTGACTTCTCTTAAGCCAAAACCTGGCATCAAATTATACCTCGTGGGAGCACCTTACTCACCGTACGTGGATAAGCTGAAATTAGTCCCTAAGACCTGGGACAAAGCGAAATTGACAGAGGGCGAGAAAGCCAGAGTATTCAGGCATATGATGGCTTACTATGACGAGCGAAAGGCTAATATAAGAAAAAAATCTCAAGACAAACGCTACATGAAAGATTTGTTCCGCAACAGAGGAAGTTGAATTGTCCAGTAATAAAAGTATTTTACTTTTACTGTAAAAAATGATGACAATTCAGAGGCGGAGAGAATCTCTGCAGGCCACTGGCATCTGTTGCCAATAAGGTGCTCTATAGTTACTTGAAGTGTACGAACAGTCTCAATATATAGGGACTTTCTTGCGGAAATGACCTCAATTCAATTCTAATCTAATTAAATTTAAATTAAATATCCAATTTAAATCCTACTTGTGATAAATCTCTAACAAATTTTCATAATCAAAGTGAAAAGTAATTTATCTTTTTTTATACACATGTGGCAAAGATACGTCTATCTAGTAACGCATTGTTCAGGTCCTGCGTACAGACGTAGATAAGCAACAATAAATATAACAAAATATTCACGCACTGAGCCCAAGATTGAAGACTATTTCATGACAGAAAAACCGGGAAAATTACTTCGGGGGCAAAATCCGCCTGAACAGAACGAATTGGTCGTTCGGAGTGGATTAAAAAATACGCGAGTTAACATGCTAGATGCAAGCGTGCATCTGTATCCCGTTTGGCTGCAAGATGCGTAAGCTCAGCCAGCGCTGGTACACGATAACGCAGCACAGAGACACCACTCTAGTCTAGCTAACCTTATGAAACCTGCCCGACAAATTGCATGTCCCGACATACTTTTTTTGGTTTTACTATGATTAACGCTCTACGAATGCACGTAGTATAGTCCAAACAACAAGTTGAGCTCTTTGTTTACTTCAGATAATACGAGTTAACATGCATTCACAGACGAATAAAAGGCAATGAATCCGTGTACAATTTGGAAATGTCATTTGTATACGTATGGTAAACGAAAGGTTAAATTTGCTTCTACTGACGGTAACTCTAGTTACCATGCCTACACATAGGAATATCATTACAACAGGTAATTCATCAGCAGACAAAGTGGTAAAGGCATATCCAGACGTGTGATAGACGAAAAGTGAGACTCTCCCCAACTGGTGGTGACGGGAGTTACAAAGCCTACAGATACGAATAGCATATCGACAGGTATAGTATCAGTAGACAATGTGGTAAAGATAAATCTATGAGCGACGAATTAATCTCGCATTTTCAAGGGAGGTTGTGTTGCCGTACTTTATGCCTTTAATAATTACTTTCAGGCATCAGTACTAAAACCCTGAAAAATTAAGATATTCTTAAATTCAACGCATAGAAATTCACCATTATATATTATATTGAATAATTTGTTTTCAGATACGTATAAAATCAACAATGTCGAAAATCAACGGAAAACGAAATCATTTACACTCCATTCGTTAATGTTAAAAATTGATAAATTTAACTATGTATAGTAATTAAGAATTAATGAACCAGAGGAAAATAATGGAGTCATTGATGATGGGGGATGTATCGAGGTGAAATTACATTTTACATGACAGGGGATTGAGGCGTTGTCGCACTTCTGAGATGTGCGGATGAATTCTGTTCAGTGTTAACAATATTCCCAGATGACTGGACTATCGAAATAGAAGTTTTAAACCATCTCTGCCATCCGATGGAGATGAATTCGTAGCCATTATCAACACTGATGCATAGAACATGGAGAGTCGTGGAGAAGTTCGCAGGCACGACGCCTGTCGCAATTAAAGGCTGCACGGGAAGTCGGGCTTGTGTTCCCGCATCCTTTAAGTACTTTTTTCGTAGTCATCTTGTACAGTTTACGATTTGCATCCATAGCAGACAATCCCAGGAGAAATTGAAGGCAAATGGTGATGTTTAACAGGAACCTATGCGAATTAACAGCATGGAACTTATTGAAATATATAAAGAAATATTTTCAAAACGAGAGCATTATTTGAGGGAGGAGAATGAGAAATGTCATCCCGATAGGTATATTCTCATTGGTGCAAAGACTGGAAGATTTTTGCTGACAATAACGCTAATCTCTCGGTTTGGTTCAGTCGTTTATCAGTTCAACCTTGCAAACTGGAACGATTTCTAAGCCAGCTCGATTAATATAATACCGTAAGACAGATGGAGCACACGTCATTTCTGTCGACTTCCGAAGCGATCAAATGTTTACAGAACTGCAAGGAAAAATGTATTCCAGGCCTGTGTATCAGTAGACAATCGCGGCAGAGGCAACATTAATTTGCCTTCTGGAAGTGCACAAACATTCTACGTGGTATTTGGCAATATCGATGTCATCTTGATAGAAATGTTCAAAATATTGAGACGCTATCATTGGTAGATATAGATTGCCAGGGATCGATGAAACTATCAACAAACACGTCTACTCACAGAACAATTATATTGGACAAGAAAGTAGTCTTTAAAAAAAGTCCATTGAGGTTAAACGAGTGAATGTGCAAGATCATCGTCGTGCTGAGTTAATGTATGCTCGTTCTTCAGCCCTGGGTCCTGGTTTTGCTCGTTATACTGACAAAAATGTTATACGTTTCAATCTTTTTCAGTTCAACCTTGCCACGCTAACGGTTTCTACGCCAGCTTGATTGATATCATACCGTAAGACGGATAGAGCACACGTCATTTCTGTTGACTTCCGAAGCGATCAAATGTTCACGGAACTGTAGGAAAAAATATAGTTCAGGTCTATGTATCAGCAGACTTTCGGCGGAGGCAACATTAATCTGCCTTCTGAAAGCGCGCAAACAATTTTACGACCGCTTGGGACTTGGCAATATCGACGTCATCTCGATAGAAACGTTCAAAATGTTGATATCTTATCAATAACAAATATAAAATTCCAGGGATCGATGAAACTATCAACAAACACGTCTACTCATAGAACAATTATACTGGACAAGCCTGTAGTATTTAAGAAAAAAGTCCATGGAAGTTTAACGAGTGAAGGTGCAAGATCATCGTCGTGCTGAGCATGCTGGTTCTTCAGCCCTGGGTCCTGGTTTTGCTCGTTATTAACCATCATGAATTAGTGCACCGTTGGTTTTTCTAGGGCAAATTAGCAAGATCCGTTCAGCGCATCTTTGTCGTCAGTTTACGGTCGCGAATGAGCTCGGAATGCAAGACATCGTTGTCGCCATCTCAAGCTCGCAATTAAACTGTAAATTCATGGCATGGTTGTGGCTGAATGCAGCAAGTGAGTGCAATAGACAAAGCAATGTTGCGACAACAACACACATTGACGTGAGTTGGAAGCCAGTCTGAAGCACAATAGGCGGCATGAATCAGCGTGAGAGAAACGGAGGCGACTTTCAAAAGAAGACTTTGGCGGTGACTGAAATTTCAGATGATCAACTCGCGTTGATGGAATATAAACGATAGTTCTTACATGCCTATCGAGAATAAAAATTAAATTTCTCAGTAGCACGAACCAAAAATCACACAACATAAAGAGCCACGCGTCGTCAATAATCATAGAATAGAAAAGACGCGAATTGAATAATTTTCATCCTGAAAAAGAAACGTCTGGTTAATTTGCGAACAACGAAAAGAGAAAAGATTATTTTTGAAAATTATCATTCTGTTTGCTAACGAATTATTAGGAATTTCACTTCGCAATTGGCATTCCATCAGTATACGTTGGTCTGACGAGTAAAGAAGCTCAAATGAAACAATTGGTTATAGCGAACGGTCTGACGTGCCTCCGTATGTAATACAATCGAGAGTATAGAAATTAACTTGCGTCTACATCAGAAATTATTTAATATCAATAACATCGCCGTTTACAACGAAACAATTCCAAGCCATTCGCGAAACGAAAAGCGCGCTAAAAATTTATAGTGGAGGTTACTCAACTTAACGGTAAAAATTGCAATTGGGTGGACACTAGGATGGAATTGGGGGATGGTCTTCCCGATAGGAAGAGGCAGTGTGAGCGAGATGAGGACACAACCGCAGCGCATAGCTCGCAGCCAGCGACGTGTGGCAGACAGTTCTGGCAAACGCCGGTGCTCCAGTCACGGCTTCACTTCTACACAGTATATACTTAGTATCCTCATTGACTTAACCGCGTCGGCTCTCCAGTCACAGCTTCACTTGTACAATGTACATTGTACATAGCATCAGGCTTGACGAACCAACAGCTCTGATCTAGCGACTGCAGCCTCAACATTAAACCTGTGCGCATGCCGAGATTTCACTTTGTGTAATATCAAGTTCGGGATGGACATTTAAGCTAAAATTCATTTTATTCAAGACAATTATGACAATTATTTGCGACTGTTGATCAATATTGGAAGCCACCTAAACACGCGTCAACGAAGTATGAAATGAGAACAATATCGTAATGATGAGCGTAGGTACAGCGGATTGCTTGACAAGACAAATGATACTATTTATGTCAAATATTATCTTTCTGACACGAACAGAAAAATATATGACCACTAACCTGCAATATTATGGCGATCCAGGTAAGTGTAAATGAATATGCCTAGTTCAACACTCACAGTGGAAATCAGATGACAGTTTACGTTTCACTTCCGTGTCATTTCTAAATTAAAAAGACATGATAAAGAGTCCTCAGATTTTTCTCGCTAATTTACATTTTAGATTTTCTTTCTGGAAAATTTTGAATGTACTCAATGATCTAATTCAATCACGGGTTTATACCGTCCAGAGTGAAAAAAATGGTATTCAGCCGTCGTTTAGCTGATGCCCAGTCTTATTGTGGCTAGACTCTTCAAACTTCATTGTCAGTCAAGTTATACGATAAGAATTACACGTAAATATAACAATAAAATCAAAATTTATTTCCTGTCACTGAACGATGATGAACTTCGTAACTTCTACCTACACGCAAGGCAATACAACAGAAAAAAATCATTAAAAACGTTAGATTTAAATTTCCCTAAGTTGCACAGTCACGAACTCGCTACGGAATTTGCCAAGTGATTCAGCTCATTCTAACACCTGAAACGAAACATTAAACTATGAAAAGTTGGTAGATTTCACTAGAAAGTCACTGGAGAGGAACTGCGGCAATATTGAATAAACCTTCTTACTTCATATTCGAACACCGCACCGGCACAACTGGTGCGCCACACGAGACTCGCGCACCGGCACAACTGGTGCACCACACCAGACCCGCGCACCGGCGCAACTGGTGCACCACACCAGACCCGCGCACCGGCGCAACTGGTGCGCCACACCAGACCCACGCATCGGCACAACTGGTGCGCCACACCAGACCCGCACACCGGCACAACTGTTGCACCACACCAGACCCGCGCACCGGCACAACTGGTGCGCCACGCTAGACCCGCACACACCGCGCACCACACCGGCAAGAGCTCGACTACAGCACCTGCTGCTGCGGTGCATCGCTGCTCATCGTGTCACGTCTCAACCGCAGCACCGCTCCTCCAGCTCTAACATTCTCCTTATCATTACACATCCGTTATCGACATCCACAGTTTCCAGAATATTTATATTCCATAAAATTTTCACCTATTGTGGAATAATACGATGCAATGCATCAGATTTCTGAAGAAAATGCCTAAAAAATACTCATTGAGTAATGCTGTGGAATGATGGACTATGTTTTGCTACGAATTTTCTTAGCCGTTAAAATTTCATAGGTTATAGTCAACTGAGCGTATCGAACTTTGTAGGGAAGTTTTAACCTTGTATCTACGAGAAGAGTGACCGACGTAAGTGCTAAACACAATTAAAGTCGACGTAACGATAGTTTGAGATCATTAGACATAGGGTTAATGTTATTTTCTGAAACGACCGCCGTGAATGCGATTCATCCCTATAGTTCGGGTAACAAGTGTTACCGTCAGTAGGCAAACGAATAACTCCCGATGGTTTGTTAGGTGCAGGCAATTTTGTGTTCGGATGTGGCACGGAGAAACCGCCTTCACGCCTCTTCATCGATAAACGAAAGCTCGCAAATTGTCAAATGACACGACCCTGTTATACGTTAGTGACACGACCCTGTTAGTGACTGTTATACGCTCAACATATGCACAAATATGTATGATAATGATTGAATTCGATTAAAAAATATTCATTTAAAATCTTGAATAGTACTTTGGTCCTGATGCGCAACATACAAGTTAGTCATAATGAAAAAAGAAACACGGACGCGTTGTTAGCCGGCACAGTCACGCTCGGTGACGTTCAATAAGACGCTACTTGGCCTTCACAGAATTGAGTGCGACCGGAAACAGTTATTATTGTTTAGCAGAGACCTGCATGACGAAGCGTCTTGAATCAACACAAGTCCGTGTAATGGCTCACACCAGCACGCTGTGGTCACGCAGTTAATTGCACCTTCAGTTTGGGAGGCAGTAGCGGCGCTGTTCTTTGCACGACGACGTCTTGAGCGACCCGAGCGCAGCACAAAACTGAATTTACGCTGACTCTCGCGCGATCGTCGTTGTCGTAAGCAACCGCTTTTACGCTCGCCAGATTTACCATTATTTCTTAATGTTTTAGCACAGATTGCAATTAGCACAGTATAGTACAGTAACAGTTTCCCTAGGGCTCTATCGATTTAAAGGGTTCGATTGTATTTATTGTATTGTGAACAGGTATATCAGAACACTTAATGACGGACCTAAAGTATTGCTCAATTGTGCTTTTGAACAAAAAAATCCGTCAATTTGCCAGTAAACCTACAGACCTGACAAAAATTCTAGCAATTCATTCCTCACGAAGTTGTGTAATGAATATAATTCCTAAGCAATCAAGTGAATTAACTAAACTAATTGAAGCATCCGAAATAAAGTTTAAAAGGAATCGTTAGATTTCGTTACAATGTAGCTCCTTTTAGAAACATAATTCCTTCGGTTTTTAAGAAATCCGAAAGTCCGAAACTCGCGAAGAGAAGTCCGAAACTCGCAAAGTGAAGTCCGAAACTCGCGAAGTGAAGTCCGAAACTCGCGAAGTGAAGTCCGCAACTCGCGAAGTGAAGTCCGAAACTCGCGAAGTGAAGTCCGACCATATTTCCATTTTTTCTTAGTGTTTTAGCACAGATTGCAATTCGCGCAGTATAGTGCATCAGCAGTTACTATGAGGCTCGATCGATTTAACGGGTTCGATAATACTTCGATTGTATTTATTGTGAACAGGTACATCAAATTACTTAATGAAGGACATAAACCATTGCTCAATTGTGCTTGTGAACAAAACAATCCGTAAATTTGTCAACCTACAGGCCTGACAAAAAATTCTAGCGATTCATTCTCCACGAAGTTGTGTAATAAATATAATTAATAAACAATCAAGTCCCTCAACCCTATTTTTCAAATAGGCTTTTATAAAGTTACTTCGAGGCAAAGTGCTACAGTCTGCATACCAAGTGAATTAACTGAACTAATTGAAGTATACGATATAAAGTCTGAAAGGAATCGCCAGATTTAGTTACATACTGTCGCTCATCATAGATCATAATTTCATCGGTTTAAAAAAAATAGCGCGAAGCATAATCCGAAACTCGCTAAACGAAGACTCAAACACGCGAAGAGAAGTTCGAAACTCTCGCAGCAAAATGCGCGAAATGAAACGAAGTACGTGGAAAGAACTTTTCATGTTGCCTGTCATGGCTGCCACCTCTTCTCATAGAAACAAGCAGTCGCTGCGTTACGAGGCGCGTGGAAGTGTTTTCATGATTGTTTCTGGCCCTTAGTATTTTTTAAGTGCTTTGTTTTTTCCTTATTTTGAATTGACTTTTGCAAAGTTTGGGTCCTTTAAAGAGGAGGAGGGGGAGTTAAAAGTTTTCTGCGAATAATTGACTTGGAATCTCGATGGCAGTCATCTCCGTAACACAGTTCTGTAATCCTCGTTGCAGTCACCCCCGTAACACAGTTCTGTAATCCTCGTTGCAGTCACCCCCGTAACACAGTTCTGTAATCCTCGTTGCAGTCACCCCCGTAACACAGTTCTGTAATCCTCGTTGCAGTCACCCCCGTAACACAGTTCTGTAATCCTCGTTGCAGTCACCCCCGTAACACAGTTCTGTAATCCTCGTTGCAGTCACCCCCGTAACACAGTTCTGTAATCCTCGTTGCAGTCACCCCCGTAACACAGTTCTGTTATAAACTTGGCAACTTGATCGCCAATAACAGCTCAGATAACAAGTGACGCGTTTGCCTGTCACATACTTGATATAAGGACCAACGTTAGTCAAAAGCAATGATTAGTAACTTGAACTTTTGCGTGATTGTAGACGCCAAAATTTCAGAGGACTCTCAATTTAAAACAAACAAAAAAACCTATTTTGCTGGAACACCTAGTTTTAGGTAATCACGTAGAAACAAGACAAAAAACATAGCACAATTTTTAGTGTAATGGCTTGACCCACTAACTAACGTGAATTTAGCTAACTTTAAAATACAAACAGGTTGTGACTATGACGAGATCTTTGTCAGATGCCTTGACTTACTAACTCCCGATGTACTCACCAGCGAGTCTGCCGTCAAAGTTGGCGTACTGGATGACCTTAAAGCCAGGGTGCGGCATGAGGTAGCAGTTGATGTCCCTGAAGCATTTACGCAGGTCCCTGCGCACGTCCTGGTGCGCCGGGTGCTGCTTCGGCGTAATCTGCGCACACACAATATAATATCCGGGGTAATGCTTTGCATATTAATGAAATTTATAATAAAGTACGACAAAATATATTTTTTGGCCATATTTAGCACCAAGTAAAGCCCTGGGTCTTGGCTTGCAACTTGCTGGATTTTATTATCATATGGAGATGATGTAGGATTGAGGACTGACTGTCAGTTTTAGGACCTGGAGATGCACCTGCATTCAACAGGTTAAAAGATAGCAAGGCAACGTTACAAACTACAGACGAACCTGAAGGATCTCATCAAGCACGCCCTGGCCGCCCTTGTGGCCGTAGGGAGTCTCGTACGGGAAGCCCCAGTCCCGCACCAGGAACTGTAATCTCTGCACACACAAGACAACTTCAACTGTCTGTACTGTGCTCCTTGACATTGTTACGTCAGCTATACTATATTTGCTATGTGGAGAGTGTTAGTGAGAATATGATCATTATGCAGAGAGTGTTAGCAAGAATATTGTCATTATGCAGAGAGTGTTAGCGAGAATATGATCATTATGCAGAGAGTGTTAGCAAGAATATTGTCATTATGCAGAGCGTGTTAGCGAGAATATGATCGTTATGCGGAGAGCATTAGTGAAAATATGATCATTATGTTGAGAATATTAGCGGGAATATTGACATTATGACAACAGATTAGCAAAAATATGGTTATTATGCAAATTTAATTAAATCAAATAATAACATTACGCAGAGAAGGTAATGGATTATATGATAATTAAGTAGGGCTGGTGACCTGGAAAGCGTGCGAGGAGTCGCAGTCTTCCTGAGCCTGGATGCCATAGGACGTGAAGGTCTGCAGGTTCATGAGGTCATCCTCCTGTATGTTGTTCATGAGGTTGTACACCAGCACTGAGCTCACCATCATGGTGAGTGCGAACACCACTGTCGAGTCCTGCGGCACAAACACCATTACTGAACACCATCACACGGATTTGTGTCTAACTTATGAATTAGTAAATCTTGAAAGGTTGAATGTGATTTTTGATAATATGTTGCCCACATCAATATTTTTCATAGACGAGGATAGAGGAACCTTTTGAGGTGATAAAATACTTGAGATTTTAAAGTCACAATGCAGGACAAAAAAGAGTCAATCTCCAGAAAATTATATTATATAAATGTACACTTTGTGAGATGGATTAAACATGTGTGGCGAAGGAATTCATTGTTTCAGTTTGTACTCACCCTAAACACAAAGTCAGAAAATCCGTATTTATTGCTGGGTAGCAGATTCTCAGGAGCGATATGGATTGGTGAACAGTGATTCCACAAGCCCAAGCTGTAGGTATGAATACCAGCAATATTATTATGCAATCCACAATAATTTAATAACCAAAATCCTTCAGATTCACTCATTTTACACCGAATACTCCCAGATCCCTGCAAAACAAACCACACAACACTATGTAATGATGGGAACAGAATTGCTGTGCAATCAAGGCACTATGCCCTAGTCCACAGAAGCTGTTAATAACATTAGCAAATTAATCATTTAAACATCAAATGCAAACAAAATGTCCTAGCAGAAAGATGCTATAGAAATTGAACTATAATATAAACGTAGCTGCAAAATTGAGTTTCTATATTGAGTGCAAGGCTCACTACATTTAACAAAAATTTTCATGTCTAGCGAGAAAAAAATTGTAGGTCTATTTCACAAAATATTACACTAAATTTGAACAAGCATTGAACTCACAATGACACCATTTATCTACCAGGGCATTTGGTAGATCAATTATTAGTCAAGTTCCATCAATCACTACCACCTAATTGTTATTCTGAAAATGTTTTCTTATGGTTCAGTTGGACTGACTTAATTCAATTGTTTATTGTGCAACTTTAATAAACAAAATCTGATCATCATTCAACAATGACAATTTTGCTCAACATTGGAAGAAGTTCAACAAATCTTATCAGAGCATACTCAACTTATTTTGTGCTCAGTCAATTTTGTGGCTCTAGCTATGTGTAAAATAAACTCCAGGACATGAATAAAATTATCATGGAGCTTCATCAAAAATCTGAATTAAAGATGACTAAAAAAGTAGCAGCTGCTCAGGAAAGTATTGGAAAACAGGTAACCTTAAGCACCTGCTTCGTAATACCAATAGTTGCAGGTGCTCAATACTAAATTAAGAGACAGGAGGTGTCCTTGGGCACCTGCTTCATTATACCAATGGTAGCAAGTGCTCAAGAATGTATTAGAAAACAGGTAACCTTGGGCACCTGCTTCATGTTACTCCTAGAAGCTAGTGCTCAAAATGCAAAAAAAAATATTCTGACCCTTTAGTGATAGGCTGCTGTCAACATAACCTGACTATTTCCAATGCATGTATTCATAACATTAGTTCATTTATCAACAAGTCCCTGTACATAGAAATTTGTTCATCAATAACATGAAAAATAATCATACAATATTATAAAGCTTTCATTGCTATTGAACAGAATGAAACAAGTCGACATACTATATTGCATAGAAGCCCAAATTATGTTCATTTTCTTAATATCTTCAACATATCCAATGACCATCAATTTGTAACTAACTTTTAAAATTATAATTTTTGAGGGGTTTACTGTAACAATCAATAAAATGGCACATGCATCAATATGTTGAATGAAAAGAGATAAAATTTTCATGTGTGTGATAGGACAATTGGATATTTGTATTTAAAAGTTCATGTGTTCAAAGAAGTGTGTATACCTATATAGGTATATTCCATGCAGTATCAGAAAATATTCACTGAAAGGTTGGGTTTTGGAAGCCAAGAAAACCTTGCTTTAATTCACGAATGAATATTAAATTTTAATGTTATAGTTTATAATTCACACAAGGACATTTTGAAAGGAACTTATCTCAACTTACATCCAATGATGACCTGCAAAAATATACAGATCTCATTGTATACAACCATATTGATTCATGGTTGGATATCATTTACTATAGCCAATTAATATTTTTGCCAACAAAATTTGTAAAAAAATAGTAATTGCTATGTTCTCATGTGGTATTTACACGGGTCTGAATAAGCCAAAAAGTCAGATATTAATATACGAATGAAAAAACCTCTTTAATTTTGTAACAATTTACCAATTAGAACTTTATAATATTGCAATATTACTTTCCAGAAATTGAATACATGCTAGGATTTATCTGGACTGTGATTTTTGACACCAGCTTTTTATTGTAAACCAGAAAGCCTTCAATGAGAACACTCTAATTGGTTAGAGATCAATATCTTGCTATATAATATCTTGGGTAGCTATATCAGAACCTGTAAAATTCTTTTTCACTGAAAAAGTGTTTGAAATTGCAAATCTTTACATTGCTGCTTTGCTGTTCTGTGAATGATAGATGCTGGACATTAATCATCAGGCTGAAATGTCATATGCTATTAATTTTGAAGCATTTCTTGCACAGGAAGGTGTAATGCTAAGAAGAATCATTGTCCTGTGGCTTGGGCTTTCGTTGAAGTGCTGTGCTGGTCAGAAAGCAATAGGAAGTAATGTCAAAACTTGACTCTCACTTTTAAATGATATGCACTTCAACAACAGCCAATAACAACAGCCAATACCACAGGACAATGATTCATCTTAGCATAACACCTTCCTGTGCAAGAAGTGCTTCAAAATGTATACCAAATAATACCATTATAGCATTTCAGCCTGATGATTAATTTCCAACATCTAGCATTCACAGAACAGCAAAGCAGCAATGTAAAGATTTGCAATTTCAAACACTTTTTCAGTGAAAAAGAGTTTTATAGGTCCTGATATAGCTACCCAAAATATTATATAGCAAGATATTCATCTCTAACCAATTAGAGTGTTATCATTGAAGGCTTTCTGATTTACAATAAAATGCTGGTGTGAAAAATCACGGTTCAGATAAATTCCAGCATGTCAATAATGATGATAGTGCAGACGAGGGCATTAATTCCAAATTGTAGCAAGAAAAGGAGCCATATCTGCAACCCATACAATACAAACTTGATTTTTATCTATAAAAAGCCCACTGAAACAATTGTATAAATGTGAACAATTTTTTGCACATTCCATCTGAACTTGCAAATCAGGATAAAAAGTAAGAATTTAAATCTGATCTCAGGCAGTCAAATACGGAAGCCTCAATTGACCAGAGTTGGACATTGTGAAGATCTCATAATCATGTGTTGAAATTTCCGTACCACAACTAAAGCTTGAACAGGATTTTTGGCACAGTGACCAACAAATCAACGACAACTGTCAATTCTGCATGACAATAGCCAATCATGCCAAAACACCTCTGCTATCATCTCAGGAACTGCAACCAAATAGTTAAAAACAACAGCCAATGGTGCATAACAATGGTCAATCAGTCCATAAAGCTTCCTTGCAGAAAATGGGCAAGCTTAATAATTTGATTTACACTTTCATTGTGGTGCAATTATTATTGTTTTTGGAAAGCTTTCATTCATAGACATTCGACAGACAAGCTTTAGTTTTTAGATTTTTTAATATTTAAATATTTAATGAACATAAGTAGTTTATATAAACAATTTTAATATAACTTAAAATATATATTTAAATAAAATTTTTTAAGTAATTTCATTGAATTCAACAGAAAAAAAATAACCTGGAGGATACAATATAAGATATATCAGTATGACCAAATCATCAGTGAAAAATCTTATCCCTCTGAGTGAATGCAAATTACTTCAGTGCTGGCAAAACACTTTAACCAAAAAAAAAAAAGAGAAAGAAATGCAAGATTATAAGCAGAAGAGTTTATTCTTCACCTGGTGAGCCCAAATAAACACTTGCATCATCTCATTTCTTTGACTTCCTTATATAGCAATAGTAACAAAAAAATTTCTACATATGAAAATAAACCCAGAACAGATATTAAAAACTATTCTTCACATAAAAACAGTTCTAACCTGATTTAATTATTTATCCACCCACTGATAATTTACTACAGCTGAATGCTGTGCAGGTCAGAAAGCAATAGGAAGTAATGTCAAAACTTGAATCTCACTTTTAAATCAAATTTACTTCAACAACAGCCAATATCACAGGACAATGATTCATCTTAGCATAACACCTTCCTGTGCAAGAAGTGCTTCAAAATGTATACCAAATAATACCATTATAGCATTTCAGCCTGATGATTAATTTCCAACATCTATCATTCACAGAACAGCAAAGCAGCAATGTAAAGTTTTGCAATTTCAAACACTTTATCAGTGGAGGACTTTATAGGTTCTGATATAGCTACCCAAAATATTATACAGCAAGATATTCATCTCTTGCTATCTTAGCAAGAGATGAATATTTTATATTTTTTATATTTTATCAAGAGATATATTTTATATTTTATCATGAGATATATTTTATATTTTATCAAGAAATATTCATCTCTTGCATCTCTTGCTCTTGCTATTCATCTACATTCCAATTGGAATGTTATCATAGAAGGCTTTCTGGTTTACAATAAAATGCTGGTGTCAAAAATTACAGTACAAATAAATCCTAGCATGTCAATAATGAAGATAGTGCAGATGAGGGCATTAATTCCAAATTGTAGCAAGAAATGTAGCCATATCTGCAACCCATACACTACACACTTGATTTTTATCTATAGAAAGCCTTTAAGAACCCAGACATACCATAAGAACTGAGACATTTTGCACATACCATCTAAACTTGCTCATCAGGATAAAAATTAAGGATTAAAATTCCAATTCATGCAGTAAAATACGCAAGCCTCAATTGATCAGAGTCAGACATTGTGAAGATCTCATAATCGTGCATTGATTTTTTTGCACCACAATTAGGGCTTAACCAGCATTTTTGGCGCAGCGACCAACAAATCAACAACAACTGTCAATTCTGCATGATAATAGCCTAGG